GCTGGCTCCGTGCCCTGGCCCCCCGAGCCAGCCAGCCGCCCTGCAGCTGGATGGGAGCTAGCACCCCCTGGAGGGGAAAGGCCCCCAGGTCCCATTCCCCACCCCCTAGCCGGCTGAGCATGCTGTCCCACACTGTGATCTGTGTCTCTGATGCCAGCAAGTCGCATGAGCCAGGCCGTGGCTCCTGCCCTCACTGGACACCTGCAGAGAGGGGAGTCGTGCTCCCCCCGCTCCACCCCCTCACACAGATCGATTATCTCCAGGCCCTTGGTTGCTTTGCCCTTGGTTCCTTGCAGCACGGGTTGGGGCTGGTCTCTCCACGCTCTGTAGCAAAAGCCTCACAAAGCCCCCAAGTCCCTCTGAAACCAGCCACAGTGCGGCACGTACACGCGGTTCTCTCCACAGCCCAGGATCAACTCTCCTTCCCCCACAGCTCTGCTGACACCATGGGAACCGGGATCACCTACAGAACCAGCTCGGGGCCTAGTGACATGCTCCACGGCTCCATTCTCCACCGAGATCCTCGCCGCACCGCCTAGCCCACGAGCCGCGCTATCGGAGCTGAGCGCAGGGTGCCAGGCACAAAGCCAGACAGAAAGGGGGTCTCTCCCTCCTCCGTGGCTCCCTGCCTGCAGCACAGATCTGCTTTGCCACCAAGGCACCCCTGGAAAGGGGGTCCCCAACCGTGCACTGGGGGAGCTGCCTATGAGCATCTCTGAACTCTGGGCTGTTCCTCTCTCTGGTGCTCGGTTCCTCTTTAGCTGGACAATGGCGGAGTCCTTCCCCACCTCGTGGCAAAGGAGAAAGCTGCCAGCACTTCTAAGGTCTGAGCCCGCACAGGCAACAGAAACTCCACCAAACCAATCTATTCGGGGGGAGTCTTCTGCAACAGCGACTGGACGCCTCTGCTTGCCAGTGTCTAAGAGGCAGGGCTCAGCACCCACCCTGCGGCACCAGGCCCTTCCGGCGACGGATGAATGCCAGGGAGATGCAGTCGTGCCAGCCCTTCCGGCGACGGATGAATGCCAGGGAGATGCAGTCGTGCCAGGAAGCTGAGAAGCCTGTGAAACTCACTGCCACCAGGGGCCACTGAGGCAGGGGTGAAATCAAGGGTGGGACAATTCCAACAACAAGGCTTCAAAAGTGCAAAGCGAGTCTCTTGCACAAGCCCCCTCCCTTGGTAGCATCCGGGGCTGGTCCCTGGCAGACACAGGGCATGGGGGAGCCGGCCAGAGGGGGCTTGGAAGCTGAGAAGCCTGTGAAACTCACTGCCACCAGGGGCCACTGAGGCAGGGGTGAAATCAAGGGTGGGACAATTCCAACAACAAGGCTTCAAAAGTGCAAAGCGAGTCTCTTGCACAAGCCCCCTCCCTTGGTAGCATCCGGGGCTGGTCCCTGGCAGACACAGGGCATGGGGGAGCCGGCCAGAGGGGGCTTCCCTTCCTCCTAGGCGCTCCCCCGTCCCCAGCCCCAGCTGCTCCCTGGCTCGGCCACGTTACCTCAGCCAAGCCAACTTTTCCTCTCAGTGGCACCAGAGCCGTGCCAGGCTTTCCTCTGCCCAGCACCCAGCACGGCAGGGCCCCCCGGGCGCAGCCAGGGCCCGTGCAGCAGCAACACGATGGGGGGGGCGG